CCCCAAAACCCCAAAACCCCTTCTAGCTCTATTTGAATAGTTTTGATAGATTGTACATAATAATAATAATAAATTTAATATTTGAATGGGTTAAAGTGCATTAAATAAACTAAGACTTAACAAGAGAGCTATTGCTGATAATGATCCATAATAAAGCTCTAAGAATCATTGGAAAAATTTGAGAGCATAGACAAATGTATTACCAGAGATTAACTACGATTATTACTTTAGATCTGATCAAAGCTATATGAGAAAGAAACAATCAGCACTTAAATAATTATAAAAATCACTGAGAAATCATATCAAGGATATTGACCTGCAAATGATCTCACTTGTCGAATCTTACTCTCCCTCTTACTTTTTTCACAGAGTCGGTGCCTCAATTGTTGGAGATCCCTTTGTTAGATGAGCTATATATGATTTCTACAATAGTTTCCTGGAACGGGATCTGCTTCTTAAGATGATTGAAAAGGGTTTATGCAAGCTCAAAGAATTTAATGACTACAGGATTACAAGTAGCTACCATCATCAGGCAGTAGAAGTTTATAATAATGTTAATTATAGCTTTGAGGTTTATTATTACTTTTTGGATGCTTTTTAGGAATGCCTTGCCCTATACGATGAGGAGTTTATAAATACTATGCTAGATAATCTAAAATAGATATTAAGTTACGACATTATGAGGTTTGAAATATCAGAAGAAAAGCTGATGTGGATAGATGAGATAAAATTGAATATTTTAAAAATTTATGACAAATATTTCCCAATGGATGAGTTCATGGAAATATAAATCAAATAGGAATTTACACTTGTTCATATAGCTATAAGCACAGGTAGCTATTAGTGTGTTAGCTATTTCATTGACAAATATAGCTTTGATGTTGATTTTTATAAGCCTCATGCTAGTCTAACTCTTCTTCATGTGGTAGCTAAATTTATTGTGAGACCATTTACAAAGTATGACAAGGAAAATATTAGAAAACTCGTCTAAAAAAGTAACAATCTCCTCCTCAGAAATAACTTCAAGAAGACAATAATTGAGCTGGCAGATAGTGTAAACTTGCAAGCAAATAAGAAATTTTTATTTGATGAGATTTCTTAGCAAATGTATAATAAAATGCTTGGCTTGACATTTGTAATGGACAAGTTAATGCAAAAAAGAAAAAGAGTTTTAAACAAGTATATTATTAGGAATATATATCAATATATTGATGGATGAAAATTAATTATTGAGATTTTACAATTGATGCTATTAAATGGGGTTTTGGGGTTTTGGGGTTTTGGGG